ACGCTGAGGGTAAACATCCTGCGGCTCTAACTGCCGCGCTGAGAGGGATTCCTGTGAGAGAGGGAGAAAGGGGTTGGGATGATGGAGGCGCCCCACGGCAGGCAAAAGCCGCCAGTGACACCGTAAAAAGTAGCCAGATTTGTCGCTAGTCGCTTTTTTGAAAAATAGTCGCTGGAGGGGTCTGAAAAGTCGCTGAGTTGGCAACACTGCAACTGCGGCGCTACTCGCTCTGCCATATTTTTTTTCTTCCCCCGGATGACGGCGGCGGCGGATGACGCATTAATCGCGCGACACAACTAATCGATGATTACCGGTAAATTCGTTGCCAACGCTTTTAAAAGTCGATTTTTATCGATTTTATCGATTCGTTGTTGCAGCCCTATAAATTATACTGGTGTCTTGAAGAAGCCTATTTTTAATTAGTGTATTTTTATGAAAATGTTCTCTTTTGTTTTGGGATATGATTGTTGTAGGATGCAATCACAGCCCAACAGTTACCTAAGAAAAGACTGTATTTGGAGAGTTTTTTTTTTTTTTTTTTTTATTTTAAATTTTTTATTATCTATACCAGTATCTTATATTTACAAATAGTGTGGTTGTTGTTGCTATTCTCTTTTTTCCAAAAGGCTGCCGTCATCCCAGATCCAGCAGGTTCTGACATTTCAAAAGGATGAAACAAAGCAAATATGCTGTACTCCATGACCCTCCTCACCCCCTAAACCCTTCTCTAGCAACTCATAGGAAATACAAGTTAAATTCTGTTACCTCTGTGGTTCTTCTAGTTTAATCAAACACTTCCACTCATTCACATTATATGTTGGTGTGGCCATGGCTCTTTTCAGTATGGTGGTTCACAGAAAGAAAAAAATCTTGTTGTTTTCACAGAAATCATTCAATCCCAACCATCTCTTTCTTTGGTTTGTCTCAAAGAATAAAACTGGCAGGTGTTTCTATCAGATTAAATGTATTTATTGTACTTTTACAGCAAAGCTGGTCCATTTTCCTTCACGCTTATCCCAGTTGGGGTCACGAGGGGTGACTGCCTCCCGCCCCTCAATGGGTGAGAGGCAGGGTACACCCTGAATAGGTCACCTGTATATCGCAGGGCAACACAGAGACAAACAACCATTCACCCACACACTCACCTAAGGAGAATTTAGAGAAGCCAATTAACCTAACATTCATGTTTTTGGGCTGTGGGAGGAAGCCAGAGTACCCAGAGAGAACCCACGCATGCCGAGCCCTCTAGTGGGCTGCTCAGAAAAGCTGATAATGTTTATACAGTGTATTAAATAGTGAAAAGAAATGCTGTAAATGTATTAACCCCACAAAATACATAAAGTTGTGGAGTAACTAAACAAATACATAATTTAAGGGTGTTAAAGCTGTTTACTGTCCGTTTCCTTTTTACTTCTCTTGCAAGCTGTGCAACTTTAATATTACTCTGTCCTCATTAGTAATAAACCAGCTGACTGCCTTTCTATGAGAGATTTTTTTTACAGTGTTGAAATCCAGTTTGCTTTAAAAGTTAAAACCATTAAAATCTTATCTAACTATAGGTAAACTTGTATCATATTTGTGTTTCCAAGCTGAATAGATTTGGTTTATATATCGTCTTTTTTACAGCCCAATTATTTTTACAGGTTTCACTATAGAGAGGATACTGTACAAAAATGGATTAGTGTCTTTTATGTTGGATTTGTAATTTTTTTTGTAAGTTGTGACATTTTATGCGTAATGTCAGGTATTGTTAAATGTGTGTTCAAAACAGATGCAAAACAAAAATGCACTCAAATCTGATGATTATGAATTCCTAAAGGTTCCTACGCAAACAAACCTTTAAATTCAGGTATGGGTTTTAACTAAGGGGTGCTGAGGTATCCCATTTTCCACTGAAAATTGTCTTTACCACTTCTGCACAATTATAGTTAATAAGTTCAGTGAAAAAAAAAACTCTGAAGACCAAGCTTTCCACCAGCATTTAAACGCACCATGTACACATGATTCTGGGAGCTCCCAGGAAGCGTATAATGTGTCCCAAAATGCGTACATTCGTAACCTGATTTGTGTGTTAACTGTCGTTTTGTCTGTGTCTTTGACAGGATTTAATTTAATGGTTTGTATGCATAGGAACCATTTGAAATGTGTAATTATAAGGTTTTGTTTGTGAATTTGTATTGATAATGTCTTAGTATTTGTATTTTAACACATTTACAAGTACTTGAAATTACCACAGAATGTTCTGTTTTACAAACTGCAAAAAAATAAAAATAAAAATCCAGCATTAAAATCTAGTATAATACAATATTATCTCCATAGTTCCCTGATAAGCATTAGTCACCCCTAAAATATAGACTGATCCCTAAAACTTAACATGTCGCTTCATTTTGGACCAGCCACGTCACCTCTGCCAACGCTGCATGGCTTTTCCTGCTAACAGCCTCTCCATGCCAAAAGGAGTCAGAGTCTGTTACTATAGCAACCACTCGGAAGGACAAAGTGGAGGAGAGGAGGGGGTAACTGCTGACATGCAGCAGTGGGTGGCAGCATGGTGGGGATTCTTCTCCCTTTCTATTGGCTGCAGGTTTCCTCAGAGCCCGCCCCTTCATGTTGTCACGGTTAGCATCATTCTGCTGCAAAACCCGTGACTGCTGCTGCTGCTGCTGCTGCCTGCTCTCTCCTGCTCTCTGTCAGTGTATTTATTGAGTCATTGTAAGAGATGCATGTGTGAGGTCAGTGCTGCCTGTCAGGAAGCAGTGTTGTAACAGGGAGCAAGGACGGAATTTGACCTCAGGGGGACAGTTTCACCAGAGAGTTAGACAAAGAAGGAAGACGAACTAACTAGATGAATCTTTGAATGGATCTGAAGATGATGGGATTTGCATCTTTTGGTCTGAAGCTCTAGAGTGACAGAGGAAAACTGATGAACAGAAAAAAAGAGACATGCTTGCAGACAAAGAGGGATGGAAGACCTTCTGCTGTTGGACATGAACACATAGAAGTATTTCTTTTTTTATTTCTCCTTCTGACAGCTGATGACGTGGCCAACATCTCTGTGGGTTGATATGCTAAAATGGCACCGGATATTTAATGAATAGAGCTTCCTACACAGACGAGCTGAAAGGATCTATGATGGGATTAAGAGGAGCTGTGCTAAAGAAATGTGGCCACTGCTGACCACTGAGCATGGGGAAAGCAGAAATGACTGACTGACCTCCAGACACTGTAAATATTTAACTAAGCGATAACTGAACTCTTTCAACCATGATGGGATGTTGGACGTACCAAAGATGCTAGGGCTAAACATGCTGGGACAGTATTGCCTCTTTCTGAAAGAGCAGTGAGGATGAAGAGACGAGGCCACACCAGAGGCCAGAGGTTTGTCAAGGCTGACTACTATGAATTGGACTGGTACTATGAGGAGTGTACTGATGGTAAGAACCATCCAAACTTTATATCATAGAGCCACCGTTCAAGTTATTTTAGTATGTCTACACAGCAGAAATGACAAGAAAATGCAGATCTATATCTTGCAGATGGACCTAAACCGTAGAGGCAAATCCAATCTGTTTATGTTGATAAATTAGGATTTACATTGAAAGGATGAGTAGATTAATTCAACAGCAGACTTTTACTTTTGTCATGGTTGTATCTAAACTTTACCCAATCAATGTTTTGCAATTTCCTGTCTAGCATACCTTTGACCTTCTTGACTAGTTTTTGTATCTCTTGAAGAACTAATATATCCCAATTTATCCAGTTTTATACACTTTCTGCTGTACTAGTGATTAGACAAGTGTTTGGCTTCTTCATTCATTTTTTTTAAAACCATAAGAACTAAATTCTAATCTGAGATTTTCAAAAGATCTGCACCATTTCTTAACTGCTGTAGAAAGATTAGGCAGATTAACAGTAGGCTACTCTGTTTAACCTTCCTGTTGTCAGCTGAAAATCCTACTCTCCCTGCAGCAGGAATGTACCGCAGATACCTTTCAAGGATTTAAAAACGCTTAACTGACACTGAAAATGGCTGTTTAATCTTTTCTTTTAGTTGATATGCATAGTTGATATGATTTTCTTTATGTGATATGCAATAATATGCATGCAATTAAATAGAAAATGCTAACAGAAGTTAGCATATGCAGTTTTAATGTGAAATTGTTCACTAATACACATTTCTGATTATCCGTATAAGTTTCAAATGCCTAATTTGAGTCAAAGGGGAGAAGAAACGGTGTAGAGTTTAAAAATCGGAGATTTTTGCATGCTTTTATAAAAAAGAAAAAGGCATAAACGTAATAAAAACAGACCTTCCCATATCTACAAGGGGGTTAGTTGTATCAACAATCAACCTTTCTGTGTTACACAGTGTTGATTAAAAACTATTAAGAATTAGTTACTTTAGATTTAGCTAGATAGCTTATGAAGAAGACGGATAAGGACACTTGTGGTTTTACATTAACACCATGAATTGAAACAACTAAAGTTATCTGTTGCAGCCAGGATTGGTTTTCCTCCCACAGTCTAAAAACATGACTGTAAGGTTAACGAGCATCTCGTCTCTGTGTTGCCCTGCATAGACTGGAAACCTGTCCAGGGTTCCCCTGCCTTTCACCCATTGGCTGCTGCAGATGAGCACTATGGATGGATGGAAGTTTTATGAAGTTTACTCTGCTCTCCCTGTTGTCTTGGTATAGATTTGTTTGCAGTGCATCAACATTTATAATCACACAGAAAAAGCTGAAATCCCACCTGATCTGCAGATAAAAGAAGAGTTTAATGCTGCAACAAGTCTGTAATTAGTATATAAGACAGATTGTTTTAACTAAACCACATAGAATGTAATTAAACTGGGTTAACGGCGCAGTCCTTGTCTTTGTGACATTAGTTATCCACTCATTCATTTAGATTTACTGTCCCACTAATCCCCTTTCTCCAACATCTTTTGAAGCTGCAGATGTGGTGGGATCCATGTCTGGAGGAATAGATAGACTATGTTATGAAGCTGTCCTCTGTGCTTTAATAGAAAACATTTCATTCAAATGAATGAATGACGCTTAGACAGCGAGGGGTAATGACATAAAGAAACACCTAAGCAATAGGACCTCCCCTGTTGAGGAGGTGTTGCTGCAGTGGGATGTTTTTATGTAATGCACCAAGGTCGGTTACAACATCATGTAGTTTTATATTACTGTAAAGCCAGTATGTAACTGCATGGGAGGGGATTGATCCATGTGACTTGAGGATGCCTGTAGTGATGGTACCTGCTCAGGTGACAGATGGGACTAACAGCAGACATTAGCGTGGCTCTGGCTGTGTCTGTGATTTGTTTACTGTCTCCTGCTTTGATCGGGTCTCACTGCAGCTTCTTCACATGCTGTGCTGTGTTGATGCTTTTGAGATAAAGCATGTTAGACACGTCTGAGCATTTATGTATATGTCCTTGTTATGTTCTGATGTAACTCCTTAGTTATGGAGGAAGGAAATGGTGCGTTGTAATAGCAACGTGCTTCAGGGATGCTGTGTAGATTTTCTTACGTAATGCTGTGGAATAGTTAAGCACCTTTGCATTTCCAGCTGTATTATTTAACCGCCAGCCAGGCTTTGATTTCTAGTCTTTGGTATTTTCACTTTCTTGGCAACCAGAGGGGATTATGTTTTGATAAATCCCCTCATGGAGGCAGAAATAGCGAACAGCTGATGATATTCTGAGTCCTGCAGGAGGAGGGAGGGGGAAGTAGGTTGGCTTATATTTAGCTCAGTGATTTGCATGAGGCTCCGAGTCTGTTTTTTTTTTTTTCTTTTCTTTTTTCTAAAAGCAGATTGAAACACTGGATGTCACTTTTAGGAGGCTTCAAAAGAACTGGGCCGTATGGGCTGAGCCCAGTCAGAACAAAGGATGGGGTCTGGGAAAAAGGCTGGTCTATTGTGGATATACTGGGGATGTGGGGGTTAGAGGGACACAGTTGCTCTGTGAGGGACATTTTTAAATAGTTTTGGATTAAATTATCAAGACTGCATAACCTCTCAGTCTGAATGGGTGTTTAAAAGTTGATCTATTCTAATTAAGCAAGTTTGTTTTTACTTCTTGCTCCAATAAAGTTAGTTTATACTTGAAACACCTCTGTCAGTATAGACTAATCAAAGTCAAATTAAGCCCAAATTTAAGAATAAAAGGAAGGAAATGGGCTGAGAAATGTGACCAGAAAAGCAAAACTCTTCCCCTAAACAGTGATTGGTGTTTATTGGACCCTTTTATCGTCTGCAGGACAACAGAACCGTTCTGTTGGCCTGTTGGGAAAAAAACCTCTCAAGCACTCAGTCATCCTGAACTAAAACCTCTTTCCCAAACTAATTATAACAATTAAGAGCATAACTGATGAGTAAAAAACTGGGATTATGGACTGGAGTTCATAATTAATGATCTCCCAGGTCTCGTTAACAATAAAAAGCTCTCCACTAATCTCTCAATCAATAAATAAATCTGCATCTTTTACCATTATACAATTTTAAATTAGAAAAAGAAAAAAAAAGAAATAATTTCAAACAAATGGATTCAACTTTGCATGTCTTGATTTTTGCCCACTAGAGTAAATATTTTAAAGAAACAACTTCTGCAACGCTTTTGGAATTTAGCTCTATAAGCTTTAGACGTCTAGAGATGTTAATGTTTGAACATTGTTCTGCAAAATACCTCCGGCTCATCTAACAGAGAGGATCACTCAACCTCAGTATTTGAGTTTTCTTCCTGATTATCATTTGGATTAGGTCTGAACTTTGACTAGGCCATTCTAACTCATGAATATACTTTAACATAAACCAGACTGTAGGCTTAAGGCCAGCATCCAGCCCAGTCTCAGGTTTTGGGAATTCCTCTTTCAGTCCTTTATTTCAAAATTGTTTAAACTCCCAAAAGATTTAGATTATAAATGTTCATTTGTTTAAGAATTTTGCCTCTAAAATGAATAGATAATAAATAACAATAATTATTACAATAAAATAGGATAATCCGTTGTGGTAACACAGTGGGGAAACCCAGTTATTAGCAGAAACATTTACATAAAAGGACATAAAAAAAGACAGACCCAAAAATGGCATGCTCATACTGAGACTTCTTATTATTTACTCTCTAACAAAGAATTGGATGCCAGCAAATATTGGCCATAATCAGTTTATTATTATTATTCGCATTATAGAAATCAAGCTCTTCTTTCTGACCAACTTTGTCAACATTTCCTTTGATGTTTTGATTATTTGATTATGTTTGTTGATTACTTCCAATAAATATTTAACTTTTTTGGCATTTATACCATTTCTGTGTGTGGAGAGTTCTGCAACATTATGGATTATTGAAATAATAAACTAACCGTCAGCTGTTTAATTTGCGAATGGAGTAAACGGCTTCACGTTCAAGTTTTGCTGCCTGATTATTAATTAATTGATTAATCCCAATCATATTATTTTATTATCACCATAAGGGTTGATTGCAGCCCTTGTGTGGTATATCCCCCTCAAAGTAGCACCAGCAGAGTGAAACATGGTGGTGGCAGCGTCATGCTGTGATTGCTTAGAACAGAGTGTATTTATAGCCCATTTTAGCAAGAATATACATATTCAGTTCCCTACTACTACTTTACAGTCCCACTCTATTTCATGTTGTTCTATCACATTAAAAAAGTAACATATAAAATCTAAAAAAACCCAGTGATTTAAGGTTGTAGTGCTTCAAAATGTGTGAATAAATAAGGGTTGTAAAATCGTCTGCAGGACAGTGTTATGATACAACCAAATACAGGACGGCTGAAGTCTGTAAGTGTGCAGACGGATTTCCAGGGACCGAACCTGAAGTTGCCTTTTCTCTTTAATGTTTAACAACTTGAAGGCAGTAAAGGAGGTCTTCCTTTACTCATGACAGGGACAAACTCAGCTACTGATATCGTGTGTTTAGTGCTGCTGGTTTCAAATGTTCTGCCTGAATCAGGTTATTCTATAAGGTTGATTCTGAACAAGAAGCAATATGCTTACCTACAGCCTGTTACTGCGTTTAAATTAAAGCTTTTTTTGATTTAGGCAAATATGAACCTTTAAAGTATGTTCAAGAGGAGGGCAGACACGGTCCCCTTTTAACAGGAACCAAACTGGAAGAACCAGGCTGAGGGACAGAGGTTATTGTCTGCCTGAACCTGTTCCTAAAAGAAAGCATCATGACACAATCTGAAAGGAATGCATCCTTTTAGATGAAGAAATGCTGTATTTGATAATGACACACAGAATGGGAGATATGTTTCTATGGGTCTGATAATGCCTTTAAAGCCATTCACCTGTGGGGAATTGGCCACACCCTGGAAACAGGTGGATGTGAGTGTTTGCCTGGCTCCAGTGTCACCATAGAGGCTGGGCAGGACTGTACCAAGGTGATGTCACCTGAGAGGGGTGGGGAATGTGCTTATCTACCTTTTAGCTTAAGCAAAAACCAGCATTTCACAGCGTTAACCTTTTGTTCTTTAGTTATCACCATTTGAACAGATGTGGATTAAAGGGCGGCTTTTAAATCCCTTCTGTTGTTTTAATCTGTTCAAACCCAGTTTTCAACCATTAAATGTGAAACTTAAGAGAAAGTGGGGATGATTCTCTCCACCCCCTGTCTGTGCTGAAGTAGAGCAGGCCACAGCCTGACCAGTCAGAGCAGAGAGGAGGAGTTGAGCCGTCTGATCGTCTCAGCGACCTGCAATAGGGGACAGCTGAGACTCACACTGCTACATATTTATACAGCTGATCTGACCCCGTATCAGACGCACACACACTTTCCTTTCTGAGAGCCATGCGCTCTGACAGGGAAGCGCAAACATCTCTCTGTCAAACAACACACCTACAACCATGGCCCAGGTAGGAGACGTGGCTTTGCCTGGGAGGACTGCTTGGCTGTAGAGCCAGAAGAGCAGGATGGCCCTCTGCATGTCCGGCCACGAGGACAATGTTGACTTCTCCAACCTGCAGGATCGGGACGAGGAATATGTTTGTTTGCCCATTCATGAAAGCACAAGGCAGGAGGAGGATGAAGACGAGGAAGAGGTGGAAATGGTCTTTCTCTCCAGGCGCGGAAGATACAAACAGGATGAGGAGACTGAGGAAACGGACCAAGAGCAGCATCTTTGTGAAGGTAGTTGTCTGCTCTTTTGGGGCTCTGTAGAGACTGTGATCATCAGGAGTTACAATGACCAAGTTATAAACGTTTTGGAGGGAATTGTGCTCGTCGTGCAGGTGCACTACCTCCTCTTTACAGAGCAGTTCACTCCCTTCCTGAATGACATTTCAGACTCTGCACTTAATATTACAATCATGATTAAAATAGATGTTTAAACAGATGCATCTAAAGACGACCCCTATTGTGCTTTACATTCCTAAGGAGCCTCTTCCTCTGTGCTACAATAACTCCTCAGTTACCGTAACTCTATGATGTGGGATCCATCAACTTTATTTCAACTCGCATCAACATACAAACATGCTTGTATGTTTAGAGCTAAAATAAAATCGGTCCGTTTTTCCAATCTGTGATCAAATAGGCCAAGTTTGATCTATCTTAAATGAGTCAAACTCAAGAACTGTGACTTTTTCTTTCAGCTATCATCCACCAATCATGATGATATTTTTTCAAAGGTAAACGAAAATCTGATAATTCTCTGGAAAGGGTTCTTTGATGCATCAATTAAGACTCCTCCTTTTTGACAATTCTTCCTGATTTCAAGGAACCCATTATACATTTTTCCTCTTCTTAAAATAATTAGGTGTTGAACAAAATTAGAAATGACATATAAGAGAGAAAGAAAACAAACAAAAAAAATAATGAAAACTAGAAAAAAAGCCTTTTCTTTGCAGTGTACATTTATTTGAGCAATCTACATGTAGCTGTAGCTTGAGATTTCTGTTGCAGCTGATTTTTAGAAAGAGTTTATCCAAATATTAACTAAGATTCAATTTCATATCCCACTGAGCTGCATATATGGCTTCGATTGGAAGAGATTTTATGAATCTATCACACATTAATCACTATTAGAATATAATTAAAAGTCACAATCATTCGCCTTGTAAATCTTTTATTAACAGTTGCCCTTGCTGGCCTTTCTTCTGAGTTAATTTGTCCCTGAAAGGTTAATCAGTAAAATATCAATATTTCCTCTTGGCATTGAAGCCTTTGGGTTTCATTATCTTACTGTATTTAACTTTAGTCGTTTGACCTGGGAGGAGTATCACCATGGAAATGAGCCAGCATGTTCTTTGAAAGGAAGCACGTACACAAATATAGAGAATTACAGGTAAACAGGCTGCACCCTGCCCTTCCACGCTTCCACGCCAGATAGCAAATGAAGACAAATGTTGTGGTTTGGCGAACATATGGGTTTATCTGGGGCTGAACTCATACTGCAGTACGTTTGTATGTTTCTGTTCTTCCTCGGGTTTAATTGGTGCTGCTGTTACAGTCTGCTTTGCAAAAAAGATTCAGATTCATAGTCTAACTTTGTTTTTGTGATGATGTATTAATATCAGAATGTTCTCTGTGATGCTGGCTTTGGGGTTTAACCATGATTGGTCAGAGAAGAAATCAGGTACTTCAGTGATTTCTGTCTGACTCCACTTTTAGTTCCTCTTTATTTTTCATTTTAACAAATATCATATGAGCCGATAAAAGAGCTTTCAAGTATTTATTCTAGTCTTGATGAAAGCAGCCATTCGTGTTATTGATATTTGGAAGAGAGGCGACACATTATGTTATAAAACAAAGGCAATTATGGATTTATTTCTTCCATTTTCTTCCTGGTTTCTCCCCAGTGCTACACTGGAAGTCTTCAACACTATGCTGAAATTAGGCCCTTTTTTAATGAGTGTATCGACCATTTGCAAACATCGTTTACGCTGAAAGTTGTCAAATTTAAATTAAAACTAACACTTCGTCTTAACAGAAACGGGTTTTAAACACATTTACCTCTTTATTTGGAAATATATGTGAGCAAGCTGTCTATATGAAGACGGTGTGTCATTTCTATGCATACTCAATCTTGCTGTCCAGTAATGGATGGGTTGCCGGTTTGGTTCCCCACTTCATCTGGCAAGATGCCTCTCTCGTCTTGCACGGTATTGATGATCAGAGGACCGATGGCTCTGATTGTGTGACAGCCTCCGCTCTGTCAGTCTGCCAACGGTGGCTGTGGCTGCAGTTTATCGTACCACCATTAGCGTGTGAACGATTGATTGCATGGGGAAAGCAATACACAAGTATACTCACAAGGTTTTTATAAAGTTTTGCTTTAAATAGGTTTTATGTTTGTTGGTTTAGATTGTTAATCAATCATTTAGTCACTAACATCTCTATCAACAGCAGATCAAAAAATTAAAAATAACCCAGAGATGAATCTTAGAAACTGTGGTGTTAAAGGGGATTGAGTTGCTCCAAACCTTAATGCTTGTACACCCTCTTCAATTCAAGTTATTGGGTTCAAATGGGATAGACCAACGCAGTTCACTGAAACGGACAAAAACTAGTTTTTTGAATAAAGGAAATAAAGTGTAACAAGTGTGACATGCATGTTTTATTAAGCCCCCTGGGTCTTTGTAGAACAACCTTTAGGTGCAGTTAGAGGTGTGAATAGGTTCAATTACCTTTTTTGTTTTTTTTTGCAACAGTTTCTAAACTGATTAGAGCTGTAGCTTAACTTAAAGGTTTCATATCAAAGCATCCATTCCTAAAACCTCAAATTGAAAATTTGCAGTTCCGATACGGTCAGGTTTGAAATGGCTCAGGGGTGTGACTACGCCTGCAGGGTGCTGTATATCTGGTTTCTAGCAGCCATTCAGTTGCAGTAAATGTGGATGATAAAATGGGTGCTTTGCATTAGCTGGCTCTTTTTTGCATTCTTTCAGTCTTCCGCGTTCAAACTGTTTTGTATATTCCTTGCATGACATTCTTTTCCCTTTTGACTAAAGATAAACTTCAATGGTATCAGAAATAAACAAATTGCTTTGCCTTTTTTGAGTTTCTATGTTGGGCTGTGGGAAAGCTCTAGCTGTATATTGGTTATTTATTCTTCAGGTGCAAAGCATTTATATTGTTAAAACACTTTACAGTACAGTATTTTATTTGTTTATTTTTTAACTTTTCACTATTATGTTATTCTTATACACTTTTCTAAGGTTCACATTTGTGTGACCATTTTTTTCTGTCATCTTTTTGCTGCTCTAAACATCTGAATTTCCCTATTGTGGGACAATAAAGGGATTTTCTATTCAAACAAAAAGACAGGCATGATTTTAAATTTCAGGGACAGTCTGAAGAAATAAAAAGCAGAAAATGAAGGAACTTGTACTCCTCATTAAACAGGGTCATGCACTCAGTGGCTGATATTTTCTTTCTCTTTAGTTGGGTTAAATGACAGCATGATGTATATAAGGGCAATAAGGGTGATATTTATTTTTCTTATTTTGTTTATGCTCATTCTTCTAATTAGAAGAGGTAAGAAGATGTAGAGGGAGCAGCTAAGCTATGTTTATATGTCGATTATAATATTTGTAAAGTATAAGCTATTTTCCTATTCAAAGTTATATAAAGTAGAAGAATCTGGGGAGCTCCACCCACTTCTATCAGCCTGGGTAAATAATGGAAACACCTCTGCTAATCACGCTATGAGGGTCAAAGCCTCCATATAATTTTATCAGCAGCTCTAATGACGAAGTTTTCCAAACTTCTAGTGAACTATAAGGACTCTTTTTCTGCTATATTTAAGGTCTTATATATTGCACTTCCTTGTTTTTTTAAGCCAACCAGGAGGGTATTATTGCCTCCCCCTGTCTCTGCTGAAGACAGCTCCTCCCTCAGCATGATGCTGATCATTCCGTGTTCTCCTTATCTGTTCAGAGGAACTTCTTCTAAACATTTGCTGTGATTCCTACTTGACTTATGACAGACTGTAAACGGCCCTTTTTATGGCTTCATTTCAAAGGTTGATTTGTTTTGGCGCTCCTCCATTAATGCCTGGTTTCACAGTTGTAAACGAAACCACCTTCCATCGAATTTATTTATTGCTTTTTTGTGTTCTGTCTCAGAAAATTGTAATTAAATGCAATGCAAAGGTTTAAAATATGACAGATTGTCCAAAAGGTCCAGGGAGGTAAACAAGTTTGCACTGCTTTTTCCATGAGTGGCGATTAAACAAAGCTTTCTGTCTTGTTGTTTCATTTGAGGCAAAATCCGGAGGGTCCTATTTTTAATGGACACTTTAAAATGACAGGTGCTAAGAGCAGTTATTCCTCATTAATCTCTTTAGTTTTTTTTTTATTATTTCTAAAGCTTTTCCTGTGTTTCTGTCCCCGCAGTGTTGTGTGCTGACAGAGTGGGCCAGATGACGAAGACCTACAGCGACGTCGATGCCGTCACCAGACTACTGGAAGAGGTCAGTGCTGAAAGCAATCTCTGTTAAAGGAGAATTTTTTTTTTTTTTTTACAGGGATTTTCAAGCCATTACCGTATTTTCCCTACTATAAGACGCTAGATTTTTTCCAATGCTTTTAACCATCCGGCTCATTAGAAGGTGCCTCTTTTCTGTAGGTTTTTCCTAACCGCCACAGGAGCAGTAGAAGTTGGAAATCAAAGAATAAGGGGCTAATTTTCCTTTGGCACAAGAACATGGTAGCAGCAGGCACAACAGAGAACAAATGTCCCCAATTAGCACATTTTGACATTTATTTGCTGCATTACAGCTGCCAAACCAATGAAGAGACTGGGCTCAACTCCTGCAGAGCTGAAATAAAGAGCTGACGAAGCCCCATCTTTTAGTTAAAGCTCTTACTGCTGCGAGCTAACAAGCTAACAGGATCTAGCATTTTTCTGTGTCTCTACTCCAGGGGCTATATGTAGAGCTCCCCCTATAGGTTTGGTGGGAGACAGTTTAGTAGATATCAGCGGCTTATAGCCCGGCGCAGCTTCTATGGACATTTTGGGTTTTTCCCAAAACTTATGTGGGCATGGCTTATTGTGAGGCGCACTCTATAGTCTGGAAAATACATTAAGTTGAAATCTGATGCGTTGGTTTAAAACAGGATTTTTAGTAGAACCGAATCGCTGAACATGTTGCCTGGCTGATTTATACTTTGAAAATAATTTGGTGTTGCGGGGAACGCAGAGCATCCCCGCCCCCTCCGCAGACACTCTGCTGCACCTCTCCCGAATTGTAGGTGACCGCAGACAGGAGGCCTCTGATTGGTCAAATCTACATCTGCTCTACACTATGCGTATTTCCTGTTTGGTACCTTAATGACTTGTTTTGTTTGTATGACCGCGATAGCGGAAAACAACTGGTGAAGATAGACCAGTTAGAAGAGCGAGGTGCGCGAGAACGCTCGGACCCTTTTTCCACCTGGATCCCCGCTATTTTTCACCCTCACGTCCCTCTGTTGTCGGACAATCTTGCCCCAATTTCCTCACCGCCTCAGCCGTATCTAGACCAACAGCTCATTTGTGATTTTCCCCGTTTGCGTTGTGGCATGGAATAAACGTAGCGCAGACCACGCTTCAATATTGAACATATGAAATGTCTGTTATACCTGCGACAAGCTCACTGCGACACACTGCTGCGGGAGTATAACCAGCCCTTAAGGTTGATTTTTTTTTTTTTTTTTATGTAATTCATCACCTGCTGCTCATAGACAAACAAGAACCTAAAGTAGGACACTGAGAGACAAAAGTGTCTGCAAAACTGAATGGTTGCAGTATCAAATTAAACCAGAGATTTGACAGACAGATTGGAATGCAGGTTATTTTTCCCTCTACTAAGCTCTGGTGTTACCATAATTGTTTCTTTCTGTTCTTCATTTCCACATTGCCTTTGTGTTGTGAGCTATTTTTATTGCCAAGAATCAAAGTGTTTGTTGTTAGCAGGCCCAGCCTGGTTTCCAGAGGTGAATAAACCCATTATGTTTGTACAGGGTTGACTAAGAGCAGCTTTTTCTGCTGCACCGATATGTTTGTTCATCCAACAGTGCTGCAGTTATTGGCGTTCCCAGTGTTAGGATTGGTTTAAAAAATAAATCACAAGATAAAAGGTTTTCTACAGAAGAGGATTAGGGCCACTGAAAAAAAAAGTTAACTGATTTTTAAATTTTATTTCAGTTAACATGGGGAATTCTGACTTTAATCTCAGAATTCTGACTTTAATCTCAGAATTCTGACTTTTTCCTCAGAATTCTGACTTTAATCTCAGAATTCTGACTTTTTTCTCAGAATTCTGACTTTTTCCTCAGAATTCTGACTTTAATCTCAGAATTTAGACTTTTTCCTCAGAATTCTGACTTTAATCTCAGAATTTTGGATTTTAATGTAGATGGGCACCATGAAGGAAGAGATGTGGGAGCACTCAGCTTCACTGACAAAGATGTGATTTCTTTGAGGTGGCCAGTGACACATTGGAGGAAAGTGATGGAATTAGGCAACATTTTACGTGCCCAAGGGGTCCCCTCATTAATGGAGGAGCAGAAGGTCATTAAAACAAAAGAGCTAGTCTCTAAAACAGACATGTCTATGGCTTGATGCCAACATGTTTATCTGTCAGAATTCTGAGAAAAAAGTCAGAATTCTGAGAAATAGGTCAGAACTCTGACTTTAAACCGAGTTTTCCGTAGTTTTCTTATTGAATTATTGTATTAGGTTGACAGAAAATCAACACCCCCCCCCCCAATGGTTGGATATCCTTAATGCTTTTTAATTTAAAAACGAAGAATTTCATGTCTAATTATACTGCAATAACAGGAGAGTTTAACGTTTTGATGAGGCAGTAATGATTTAATCAAATTTTGCATTAAAATCATGCAGCAGGACAGACTTGGTAGTTCTATGTTATTAGGAATCAAACAGACTTATTTTTAACACAAATATCCTACATTCAGTATCTCCATGGCAGCACTGATTAACAGTTAATAATAACCCATCATGTGGTGATTTTAGAGGGAAAACACTTTTGGAGAAAGATGGAAACTGGAATTGGTTTGTGTGGTTGAACCATCAGCCAGTTATAGCTCAGGAGAGGGTAGGGATGCTGAGGAATATGGAGTCATCTCACTTTACAGGTCAGAACCATCCAGAGCGGACTTTTAGCCTACAGAGTAAGACTCTGAGCCGGAGGGTGATGGCTAAAACAACCGCAGCAGAAAATAAAAGACAGGGAAACATGGCCTGCTTTGCCTCTGCTACAGATAGTATAACCAGTTATTTATAGATACAAATAAGTATATAATATTTTAACTAAATACCACTTTCAAATAAGTTCTTCATCACTGTTACAGGAATTTATCTACTATATTCTTAAAGTTATAGATGGCAATTCCATACGTCCTTCACTGCCAGGGTTGTTTTCAGCCCAAAAACAACATGAAACACCTCAATAAAATTCCTTCTGTTAAAACCACAAACTATAAAACACCCCTAATGCAGAACGTAGAGTCACATTATTACTACGAAGCTAGTCTCTGTTTCAGTATTACAAAAGCTAAGAACAATCATCTTGAACTGCAGCCATCTACAATTTTTACCTAATACTTCTAAAATTTCTAAAATTTCTCTTGCCTCAACATCTGGAAGTACAGTGCTGGGAGTGACATCAGCAGGTCCATAATAACCAGTGGCAGCAGTTACTGTATATGGGTCATGCTCTCTACCCCCTTACTTTCGTTTTCACCTCGTTAGGATTGCTACCTGTTGTTAGTTCTGTAAAGATAAGTAGATATTATTGTATAAAAATATGTTTAGTAGCTATTTCTTAGTTTGTTGGTATGTTTATATTACAGGTTTACAACTAATGGTATTCGATTTGTCATCGTATTATTTAATAAGGAACCAAAAGGAGTCTAACTGTTACTGACAAGATATCTGTTGGTGGATACTAGTGTTTTGAGAAATAGAGAAGAGACTCGAGTTGTTTCCTCCAGACTTTCCTGACAAATCATCACGAAAATGGGGAATGTACTAAGCAGACGAGCTAGATTTGTAAATCTGGACAAGAATAGCTGCTCACAGTTTTTTTTTTTTTTTTTTTTCCGAACCACCAAGCTGCTCTTTCAATGAGGGAAAAAAATATAAAACATGTCCTTTTCAAAATGTTCCAAGCGCACAAGAGACACCGTGGAGTTCTCCAACTTCTTCCCATCTCATCTGACCTGCTTCACTCACTTTGAAAACAGCTCAGCATCCATAGGAAACTGCGACACCATCCTTATGGGGATTAAAGAAAAAAGCTACAACCAAACAATAAGGCAGAGCTATATAGTAAACCGTGAAAACTTCATCAGTTTTCCATAACAAAACCACTGTTCCAGCTCTCAGTAATTTAAAGCTGTTTTACTCAGCTTTGGAGAACTTTATGACAATCGGATCTGTGTAGATAAAAAGTTTCTACCAAAAAAAAACAAATATAACTGAAAATTATAATTTATCATATTACAGACATAGACAGCATTAGTGGTACCTATAAAAATGGCGGATATGTATTCAACTCCAAACATTTCAAAGCGATACTGATGCTTTGTTCAGTAATTGTGTGGTTATGATACCTTTGCGTTGCTCTAATATTTACAGAAATGGCAATAAATATGATATGTGGGAAATAAGAGTTTAAACTGTTCATATTTTTTATTACATTTTTGACAATTGCTCTTCTTCAAAGTGCTTCCTGTGGTATAGTTTATCCAACTCACTCAGCTTGGGGTTTCCCTTTAAAAATGTCGAGATGTGATATTAAATGCTTTCCATCGTTTTTATGGACGGTCTGTAGTTAAAACAAGCTTTGTTGTTTGAGCAGAAAGAGCGGGACCTGGAGTTGGCGGCTCGCATCGGACAGTCGCTGCTGAAGAAGAACAAAGCTCTGAGTGATCGAAACGAACTGCTGGAGGAGCAGGTGGAGCACATACGGGAGGAGGTACAAAGTTTTTATAGCTTTAGCCCACCTTAGATCTTATGTTTAGAGATCATAAAGCAGTTTCCTCTTCAGTGTTTTACCCTTATGAGTATTTAAACTTCATGACAAACTGTCATGTTACTGATATGGCATGCAGCCAATTTTTTTTTGCCTGAATCTCTGAGTTTTTTGCTATATTTCCCTGGTTATGAAAATTACCGCCACCCTGTGTTTTCAGTTAGAGCACCATACCAATGTTGGCGTCATTATATTCTCCAAATCAGCTTGTTTTATTTTCCTTTCTGTGTTCTTTGTTCAGCATTTGTCTAAATGTTCTCATCCAGGTGTCTCAGCTACGTCATGACCTATCCATGAAGGATGAGTTACTGCAGTTCTACACAAATGCAGCTGAGGAAAGCGAGGGGGAGTCCAACACCTCCACACCGTAAGCCTCCTTTTAGTCTCATTACATCATCCATCAGTGGGATCAGCTCTGTCAGCATTAAGCTGTGGTGTTGATTTTCCCTCCAACACAAACAAATCCGCTTCAAAAAGCAATTAGCTTTTCAATAAAAGAAATTATCTTGCTTATAAGGAGCTTTATTAGAGGATATATATTTAGGGATATTAAGATAAACATTAAACCATTGGTGTATTTACAGGGTGCGTCAGAGTGAACCTAATGTGTCGACCCCAACTTTGTTTCCTCTGGACTCCCTGCAGAAGAAACTCAAAGATTTGGAAGAAGAGAACAAATCACTGCGATCCGTGGTACGTATTAGCTAAGCTTCCGCTGCTAAAATAGTTAATTATATAGTTCTACCTACATCCACATTAATACTTGGTTAAACGTCCCACAGTAAGTTAAAGCAGGACAAACCTGCTCCTCAGGCATCACTGCCTTGCATCTTTTAGATGTCTCCATGTTGCAGCACACCTGATTGAAAGGATTGCATGACATCCTCAGCTGGCATTAAGTGTTTCAGAAGCCTGTTAATCAATCTTGAATATGAGTCAAGTGTTTGACTGCGTGGGGAAATCTAAAACACGCTGGGCAGTGGTACTAGAGGACCAGAATTGAGAACCACTGAGTTAAAGATGGACCAAACTTTTTAAATTTTATTTTTAAGCTTTTGTTGTCTCCAAATAAGGATTTATGTAGATGCAAGACGTATTTTACAAGAGGCAGTATCACAAAAACACTGATTTAATTGTAAAACATGAAATCTGTGACAATCCAACTATAAAAACTTTAACTTCATACTTTAAAAAACACAGAAGACAAAAAGAGTCAAAGACCATAACTTTTTTTTAAGAAAGTTAACCCTTTGAGAAGATATTAAATTTTTTTTAAGAAGCTTCTTATGACATAAGGAGTTCTGTTGTTTAGTCTGACACCAATGAGAACTTAAGTCAGCACAATGCTGCCACCACCATGCTCAATAGTTTTTAAGTTTCTTTTGGTATGAAAGGCTTCAAACAGCCATGGCTCCTTTTTCTCATCCAACCTTTCTCCACAAGGCATCTGGGTGGTCTGCAAGGCAGCTGTGGAGATAGGTAAAGAATAGATTTCAGAGTATTTCAGAGCAATACAGATGTATTTCCCCCAATAAATCTGTATTGGAGAACCAATGCTGGTTTCAATGTCTGCGATTTGCAATGTGCGCAAAACTATATTGATATTATGCTAAATAGGCTAGTTTTCCCTATTGCAGTGTTTCCAATGAATAAGAAATACAATTAAGTTTAAAGTTCATGCTCTTGAAAACAACAATGCTCATCGTTTTCATTGTTGCGAACGAAATGTAAAAAATAATTCTTTTTTTCCCCCAGCTTTTATTGTCATTACACTGTCACAAGTACATAGCAACGAAATTCACTCTTTTTAACCCATCCCTTTGGGGAGCAGTGGGCTGCCATCTTGGGGCGCCTGGGGAGCAGTGGGATAAGGGTCTTTGCTCTGGGAGCGAGAGTGGAAGTCTGTGATAGTAGGTATTTACCTCACAACATTCCAAGCCCTATGCCCTAACCACAAGGCCGCCACTACCACCAAACGCTCAGCCTCCTTTAAGTCCTTTAAGTACTCCTGGTGTCTTCTCCGTATTAGAAGGCAGTGCGGTCCAGTTGTAGATCACGTGACCTGTGTGTTGTGGAAAGAGGTTTTCCAAGTCCAGGTTTGCGAAGTAGAATCATTCTGATGCGACCAAGAAGCCACCCAATCAGAGCGTAGAAACTTTTATAAAAAAATAATGTGAGGTCCATTTTTATTGTTCCCTTTATCAGATTTATTTTCCTCATTGCAATTTGTGCAGTTTGATGGTGCAGTGCAAAACTTTATGAAAATGAGTAAAGATTTCTTAAGATAAGTGTATTTACCCTTAATTTGAGTGGGAATAAAGGATGATCTGCCAATGGAATGAGCAGTTTTACCACTGGAATAAGGAAAATTAGATATTATGCACTTAAAGTAAGAAACTGCAGTGGTTTTTTTTTTCTTATCTTACATATAAATTGTCTTATTCCAATGGCAAAGTGTCTCACTTGCCTGCTCAATTAAAGAAATCTAACTAATGTGAACAAAAACATGGCTTTTGCTGCATCCTCCACGGTTAAGATGGACATGAACCCATCTTGGTTCCAATTTTAGGAGTTTGGCACAAATGCTTTAAAAAAAAAAAAATAATAGTTTTCAAATATCCATGTAAAGTTTGCACATGTAGAGTTTTGACAGAAACCAAATCGCCTAAAACTCTGCAGAATCGAGTTGAAGCCATTTGATCAAATATTAGTGCAGTGTGTGGATATATGAAACCTTAGGCTAAAAATATCCACCCTGTGTCAATTTGAGTAAAAAGCGATTCAAACAAAAACAGAAAAGTTGTTTATTATGAACATTCAGACCTTGGGGAAAAAAAGTATTTTAATCCATTGTTGAGGTTCAAAATGTTAATACGTTATTCTCTATGTATTAAATAAACCCTTGTATTACTTTTTTTTGGAAGATAATTACTGATAAACCTGTTAACGACTTATTTTTATTAACGATTTATTTATTTATTTATCCTTCCAGGCAAATCATTTGGAGACTGAAACCATCTCATATGAGGAGAAAGAGCAGCAGCTTGTCAGCGACTGCGTGAAAGAGCTCCGTGAGGGTTTCATTCATCTCTTTCTAATCTTATATCTTTGTTTCTTAGTCCGCCGGCTCTTATTCTTTCCTCTTTGAACTCTGCCAGGTGCTGCCAACCTGCAGATCTCCTCTCTGGCAGAAGAACTGGCCAGGAAGAGTGAGGACGCTTCCAGACAGCAGGAAGAGATCACACACCTCCTCTCTCAGATCGTGGACCTGCAGAAGAAAGCGAAGCTTGTATGGAAGGCTTTAAAAAAAAAAAGCTCCATAAGCAAATTTGACGGTAGATAAAGAGCTGTGTCCCGTGTTGTCTTTGGTGTTCACAGTATGCAGTTGAGAATGAAGAGCTGACGCAGCATCTGGGTGCAGCCAAGGACGCCCAGAGACAGCTCACCGCTGAGGTAACTGAAGGATCTTTGTTCTTATCAAATCATTTTCTTTCAAATAACATGTTTTTTTCTAATAGGAAATGAGACGTGCATATTTTAAAAGTTAAACAATGAGAACCTGTTTTTATTTACATACTATTTAAACCAACACAAAGACCAAAACCAACCTTCAGAAAATATAACTTCTGTGAATATACGTCGATCTCTGTCATGAGGGGGTATGATTCTCTTTCACCAACCCTAAACTACGTTTAGAAGGGTGGCAGTAAACCTGCTACACGAAAACAACTGCAAATGTGCAGACTCATTTACGGCATACGTCACTTCCCCTTCTCCATTTGTTATCCTGACGGAGGTCGATGCGACAAATTTCCCTAACGGACTATATATTGGTAGCCTAGTAAAGCCTAGTGTCTGCGGCACTGTCTGCGGTCACCTACAGTTTGGGAGAAGTGCAGCAGAGTGTCTGCGGAGGGGGCGGGGAACGCTTTTTTTTCACTGCGACACACGCAGCCAACCTAGTTTGGAAGTATAAATCTAACCTGACTCCGCCAGATGGATTTGCTCCTAATATCCATCTGGAAACCTTCTGAAGTGATTTTGGGAAGGGGCGAAAATACTGGTTAGCTGATTGGCCTATGTTGGTGATAGATGGGCCAAATAAACCAATCAGATCAACGAAGAATATGACTTACTAACAGCCAGGCTACTCTTGCCGAAACCAGTCGGGAGAAGAGTAAAAACATCTTTTCCTCTGAGAAAAGCCTCCAGAGCAGTGTTTTGCTCCTCTTTCAGTGAAGAAATACTCTGTAATTCCGATAAAACTTGCTCGATAGCCACGCTAACGCTAGTTTCATCGGCTGAAGCCGCCATGTTCTTTAGACTGAACTGTCGCGCTTCTCGTTGCGTCACACCTCAACCCGCCTCAAAGCCAACGCTGATTGGACGTTCGTTTGGTGAACAGCTCCAAATTTTCTTTAACGGAAAGTAGCCAGAATCATCTGCGAGTGAAACCTTGAAAGCTCGCGAGATCAGGATGGTCTCACGAGGCTAGTATAAATCAGCCTTAAGGACAATTTAGAAAAGATAAGATACCCACTGTGACACCATGTAGTCCACCATTAGAACATCTAGACTAAAATATATTTAAATATGATTATAATTATAATTTAATTATAATTTTTTTCATTTGATTTTAATGTTTTTAAGTCAAACAGAAACATGGTTAAAAAAAATAAAAATAGTCAAACCTGCTTAATTTTTTTTCTCCTTTCTCCTTGTGAAGCTGCGTGAGCTGCAGGATAAATATGCAGAATGTTTGGAGATCCTGCATGAAGCCCAGGAGGAGCTGAAGAACCTGAGGAATAAGACTCTCCCTCTCAGCACCCCGAGGCGTTTCCATACCCCGGGCTTGTTCCCAATGGTCAGTGCATGAGCCTCCACAGCTTTATGCAATTTAACAGTCTGCAGATTGCTTTATTATATTAGATTCTGTCACCTCCACAGCTGATTTAATATCCAACCTCTGGAACAATAGAATAAATGGTTTAATTTTCTTTTCTCAGGACTCCCTTGCGGCAGAAATCGAGGGCACTATGAGAAAAGAGCTTCAGATGGATGATCCAGATGTAGAGGAGCAGAGGTAACTTTAATTTTATCGTCCATCCTTCAATGATTTGTTCCTAGATCATTATTTTGATTTATTTTATAATAACTATATGATTTGATGTTGTCTCATATTGTTTTGTTTTTTTCCCAGACTGCACCCAAAGCGAGTTTTCCAGACGGTGAAAAACCTCAACCTGATGCGTCAGCAGCGCTCCTCTGGAGCCCCTTCCCCTCTCAACATCCCCGGCTCCAATCAGAACTCCTGCTTCACCTCAGGGCGCTCCAGCAGGGTTGGCACGCCTCGCTCCAACTCCATCTACGGGAGTGAAACGGGAAGTGGGATCATCCTGGACAACAGGACAAGCAGTATCCTGGAGGGTCCAGATGATGGGTGCGGGCAGCAGAGATTGCTGATTTCCACAGTTTGACATCAAAACAAATCCTAAAGAGTTTAGTTCCTTTTCTTTCTTATGTCTCTTTTTTTAGGTCGGAAGACTCCAACAAGCGTCCCCCTGGAACACCTGGGACCCCAGGCAGCAGGGACCTGGAGGCAGCTCTGCATCGCCTGTCCTTACGCCGCGACAACTACCTCTCAGAAAAAAGATTTTTTGAAGAAGAGAGGGAGAGAAAGCTGGCCTACCTGAGGAAGGAGGAGGAGAAAGGAGGGGTTGAAGGCAGCGGAGGCCCAGGAACCCCTACAGAGAGCCTGCTGTCGTTCTGCTCGCATCCCTCCTTTGGAAGCATCTGGTCGGGATATTCCATCACTGCCAGGTCCTACCTGCCTGAGAAGCTGCAGATTGTAAAGCCGCTAGAAGGTGATTATTATTATTTCCAAAGCCACAAGTCAACCGAACCTCTTGGAACGGATAAAGAAAAGGAAAACATCAGTTTTCAAAAAGTCTTCCCGAGTTCAAGTGAAAAAGAACATCACAAGCAGGAGCAGAGGCACGGCTACAGATATGTTTTCCTATACAGCCCAAACAGCCAGATGCAAATTAGTCCAACCCAGGCCGAGTATTTAATTTTTCATGACCAGAATGAGGCTCAAATATTCCTGAGTTCTTCACCGGATGCTAAGCTGCCAAGGAGCTCCAGTCTGTCGGAGCTCTGTAGCCTGTGGAGCTTACAGCTTCCCATCAGAGCTCCCCTGGCTCTAAGCAGAGTCCTGCTGAGGGCCTTAAAGCAGGAAGAAGGTAGTTTAAGCCCTCTGCACTCATTTTACTTCAGACACACACAGCCACGCTGCCTGTTTGAAGTATAGACGCCAGGAAGCTGACTGTCTGCGCAGTAACATTACAGGTCTGAAGGATGGGTAATGTCACATGATCTGTTTACTGTTTAAAGAAATTGATCTTAGCAATACAACGACCCAATCCCAATACACCCCCTACTTGCTACCACTATTCAATTCAGTTTATTTTGTTCTTCTTTGGGACTGTCTGCAGTGGAGGATCAGGCTGAGCTGATCATCTCCTGTAGTTTGCCAAGAGGCTAGCTCCATCCAGCAGTAGCCTATCATAGCCGCATCTCTCTGGCAGGCGTCTCCAATTTATTACTGTCCTACTCGCCCAGTGGTGCGTCGGTTCTCCTCCTTCTTTAGGTTCTTTAGCTCCGGAGAGGGGAACACCAGGCAGCCTCTTTCGTTTTCTGTTTCTCTCTCTGCCGGTGTTCTCGTACAGTTTTCCTGCTGCTCCGATCTGAGCTCTCACATCACCGCTGTTGTCCGCTAGAATCAGGTGAATCCAGGATACCAATGGATTTATGTCGCTTTCAAAAGAAAGAAAAAAAAAAAAAAACGTCAATCAGTAAAAATCCCTGTCCTCCATGTTTTCTGTATAATTTTCTCTTGCCCTTCTCCAGCAAGTCAGCATCTGTAATTTCTTGTTTTTAAGGGTTGATTCATACCCTCCCCCTCTCATTATGTCCTCTACCCCTACATGCAAAAAGCAATTGGGACACCACTACCCTCACTGGGATGCATAAAAATGTAGGGGTAGGGCTAAAAAGTAGGCCTAGGGGGTGTGTTGGGATTGAGCCAAATTGTCACATTTTGCACAACATGCATTAATTTGTAGGCTTGACTACAGTCAGGACTTGCATGAACCTCTAACCTTCCCTAAAGTTGTAGCTTGTAGCTTTGCAAAGCTAGGTTGTAAGCATACAAATAATATAAGATCACCCAGTTGATGTAATAATAATGTAATTGCAGTGCATGTTACTCTCATATTCATGTTTAACAGTATTACATCTGATAGTATTAGATCTTTAATGCATGAAATCACTTCTGCAAATATTTGAGGTTTATATGACTTTTATCTCCTTCACCTGGTGTTCAGAGCTGGAATTACAACCACATCAATATAAATTAAACTAATTGCCGCCATCTTAAATGTACAATAAATAGTGGGAAAAAAAGGCATTATAGCATCATCTATGGGAAGGAAAGCAAGTTTTTGTCTGTTCCAAAAGTGTTGTTTGTGTAGATGCCCTTTTTTTATCGCCTGACGTTTCTATATATACTGTAGGTAAAATTTAGAATAAGTTTCATTTGTTGTTGTTGTTGTCACTTTACACCATAAACTTAAAAGTTTTAATTGTGTTTTCATGACTAAATCACTTTGGAGATGGTAGAAAAAGATGTAAATATTGTAATTTCTTAACAAATCTGAATCACAGCTATTTTCTTTCTTAATCTGTCTCCCCTGAATAAATCTCATTTTAGTCAAGTCCCTTCAAATGTTCAGTTCAGTGCAGAGGTTGAACATAGCTCAATATTTCAGTGCATTATTTCAAACTCATGAACACACAAGTTCAACTCATTACACACAAGAACAAATCCAAGGTTTGAAAAAGAAGCTTATTGCCCCTGATATCACAACACTATATATATTCTGACTCCACCTCCGTTAGCTTTTATCTGCTCTCAGCTGAGGCATCAATCTCTCCTCCCCAAATATTTTGCCATTAAAGTTGTTTGAAAATTCTTTTAGATTTTATTTTTTCTGCTTTTCCAAAGCGTTGCATAAAACGGCTTCCTGCACTAAGATGGTTAAAGCACTTTTTATTTATGGTGGATATTACTCCCTACTAAACTCTGTGTATGACGCACGTCTCTATCACAGAACAATCCTGCCTTTAAGCTTATTGCCTTTTTCAGGATGTAGTTAGATGCAATAAATGTTATTTATAGCGATTCCTCTTAACGATAAATATATCACACACTGGCGCTTTCATTGAAAGCATGATGAGCTCATCTAATGGTGTGATGCTCACACTTTTAGCAACTATAGTTTGAAAATAACTAATCTGAGGTTTTAAAGACAACTTAAAATCTAGTTGAGCTCTTTCATTTCTTGTATTTTCAATATTTAATTGTACAATAGTTTTCAGTTTGCATGATTTTTTTTCATTAGTGATCATTGGTTTACTTTATTTTGGCAATTATTTCCTCGCTTACTTGTTCTAAAAGTTGCTCCAAATTGTTCCCCTAAGCAGATTGCACAGTTTTCATTACAATTGATATTTTTTACAAAGTCATTAATAAACATATTGAACTGGCTTGGCACCAGGAACAGCCATTGAGGTTCCCCGCACTTTATATTCATATTGTCTGATTTGTTTTGCTCAGCCTGCATGAATTGTAGTCTTTCAATTAAAAAGTTCTGTAACCACCATTTAATTATTCCTCTGATGCTGCAGTTATCCCATTTATTAAATGGAATATAATGATCAGTAGTATCAGAAGGTGAATTAGGATTCTTTATCAAATTCACTCGGTTAATGAACAATTAACTAGTGTAACTTAATGAGTGAATAAACGCTTTTATTTTGAAAAGCTGAAATGCTGCTAGATCTCCAATGAAAGGGTTTAGATCTAAATATGTTTGGATATCTTGGTGTTACTGTTCAGATCTTAGAGGAAAATCAGATGGAGGATCTAAAATTGACATCACAGCCGTCGTCTAACCGGTCTGACTGGACCTTAGCAGCTGTGCAAAGAAACAGACAAATCTCTGCGCTTAGATGTGTGTAGCTGGTAGAAACGTCAACTATTGGGAGGTAACCGTGGTTACGCGTCACATTTTAGAATATTATGTGCAGGGTTTATGATATTCATTTTATTTTTCAATTGGCAGATTGTTGTATTTTCGTCTAAAACGAAACAAATCCAGACAAAGTGAGCTGGAGTAGTTGTAGCGCACCAATCTATAAAAATGTTTCCTGGTGTTTATTGTTTAGAGACGCTGCAGGTGTTTTAGTTCTGTGTTCTTTCTCTGATTGTCCTCTTCATCATCACACATCTGCTCTTTCATTTCCAAAGCTGTCTAATTTTAACTGCATCTTTTATTCCTGTCTTTTCTTCTTATCCGATTGATTATTCCCAAACTTTCGCTGCTTTTCTCCACCTCTGTCACCTTTTGAGCTTTTCCATTTCTTTAATTCTCTCTGCCTCTGTTAAACTTCTTCTGTCTGTAAACACCTCTCTTAATAAAGTCTCATTTTCTCATCTTTAAACTCTTTTGTTGTTTGTTTTGAGTTGGCATTTCCCATTTTTCACATAAGGAAAAACACCCATTCAGTAAAGTAAGGGCAGAAAAGAGATATTTAGCTATTTAAAGCTAAATGAAAGGTTTTCAGTGTTTTAAAAAAGTTAAACCATGAAAACTTCATTTTCTTCTAAGGTTCAGGTTTGATGGATGAATATTTTTTTGCATTGTTATACATTTACAAGCATGTTTGACCATGAATATAAACAAATAACAGACTTAACAGCTGCTCTGTGATTTGACTGTTTTCAGATCTACATTTTAGTGAAATGGGCTTTAAATCTACAGCTTGTTATGTAAACAAGTCAGGAGCTATAGATTATAAACCCTATTTAACAGCTTTGTAGTTGACTTCAGGTTTTCCTTTCTTTTTCCATGCAGGTTCTGCTACCCTCCATGCGTGGCAGCAGCTGGCTCAGCCCCACATGGGGGCTCTGCTGGATCATCGGCCGGGCGTGGTCACAAAGGGCTTCCGCACCTTAGAGCAGGACCGGGAGCAGGACGAGAGCTGGCAGCTGGACCAGCCAGAGGAGGACGAGGCGTCATGTGACTCTCTTGCGGGCTTGTCAGGAGAGAGCTCTGCTGCGATAGGTTCACTACATTCTACCTCTGCTGACTCCCTCCGCTGTAACAGAGCTGCTGGCATTAAGGGAAACGGCCAATTAGAAGGAATGAACGGAGCAATCTGTGGCCTTAAAGAAGCAGCCGGAGGAAAAGATGGACATGTTGCAGGCACGCCCCTTCCCCTGTCCTGCTCTTCTCCTGTTCCGTCCTGTTCAGAGATCAACAGGCACACGGACCTCAAGGAGCTTCAGGCGCTGCAGCCGCCCACCATGGACCGCATGCCTGGTGAGGGTGCGTTTTAACCACAGTCATCCCTGAGAAATCCAGATATTTAATCTGGAGGATGTGGAGAAAAGAAGCAAAGGGAGGAGGAAGATGGGTGGGAGGGTGAAAGGAGGGAGGGGAAGGCTTTGACTGGACATTTCACATCTCTAGAGTGACAACCCATCCTGCATGATCACACTCACGTTCACTCCACCCAGGAGCAGAGCCTTGCCTACGCAGCCGTCCAGCTCCGTCCAGACAGAGTACTTTTCTTTTTTTTTTTACTTTCATTCTCTTTATACCTCTCACTTCCTCCTTTTATTACCTCCACTTTGCTTTTCTTCAAATCACTCAAACTTCCTCAGCGCTTTGCAAGTTTGTCTAAACGAATCTTTAAATTAAGGAAGTGTAGCTAAATACACATAATTATGATTGGTGTTGATTGGTCAGTGTAGCAGGTGGTGCAGAGATTCAGACGCATCATGTCTGCTCTGTTCTGCTGCCTGAAAAGAGGCATCAGGTGTTGAGTGCAGCTGTTCGAGTCACATGAATGCATGACTTCAAGAGCTGCTTGGAGCTAATTCAGGGGGCTGTGGTGGAGGGTGACCTCCAAACATGCTCAACCTGTTCCATGTTGAAGTAAATCCAGGCTTGTGTGACACAGAAATATTTGCATTTGTTTAAGATTGATTTTAATAGGAAAAAAAGCTGCATGGACTTCATTTTTTCTTTCTTGATTCATTCATTTTTTTATCCTTGCTTCAACCTATGCTTGGTTCAAAGAGTTAAATTCTGTTTTCTTTAAATTTGTTTGCTTTAAATCTTAGATAAGATTTAAAGGAGAAAATATGGTTAATAAGAAGCTGGTGGCCTAAATTGACTGATCTTTTTCCACCTTCTTTACATGTTTTATTTCTAACGGTGTTTATTTTTTGGTGCGTTTTGCACCATAACTAACAGAAATGATTTGTTCTCCCTCCACATGTTGTCTCAGCTCATTTCCCAGGAAAGTCTATGTCCCACACCAGCTCCACATACACCTTCACCACCTGCAGGATTCTCCACCCGTCTGATCAGCTGACCTCCGTGTCGCCCAGGTAACAAACACAGAATCTAAACTTTAAACAGCTTGGCATTAGCTGTGGTAATTGGTTTGTTGAGATTTATTTCCTGGAACCTTCATAGCGAATTACAGAATTTTTGGGTATTTTCAGAAGGAGATCACTCACAGGTGTCTGTGTCCCTGCTGTGCGATTGGCTTTGACAGGTCATGTGATGAGGAAGAGGAGCTGGATCTGTATCAAGTAGCCCTTATAGCAGAATTAGAGCAAACCCATTGAAAGCACCTCTCAGTGTGCAGATGGGTGAGAACCTGCATGGTTGTTCAGACCTAAAGACTTTGGGTGTGTTTGAACCTGAGTGACATCAGGGTTTGCCTCTAAGCTTGTTTTCTAATCTGTTCTTTTTGAGGTGGATACTGACAGTACTAAAAAAACATGCATGAAGACAAATAAATAGAGCTATAAAAAGCTCTTTGGACTTTAGCAGCCACCCCATTCAAAAGATTTATTATCAACTAAGTATCTCAACAAAAAGTCAGGAATTACTTTAAAGTCTTCCTGGTTGTTTTATTTTTTTACCCTTTGGAGCAAAAAGAGTAAAACTGATTAAAGAAAATAATTTTAAACAAGGATTAATAAGAAGGAATTATTTTCTTTAATCAGTCTTATACATATATATCTTAAAAAAAACAAAAAAACATTTTGAATTCCCTGCAAAAAAGTTTTTCACCAGAAGGTGGCGACATTACGCCAACTATGAAAGACAGCTTTATAACATCCTTTATATTTAATGAAGTTAAATAGCTGTATGGATACTATAACACTGATAAAATGGTGTTGAAATAAATGTCGCACAACTTTAAATAAACAATTGCTGACAAAGCACTTCCAGACCATTATTTTGAGATTTTGTTGCTCTCTTCTATGACTTGAAAAGGAAGCGTCTACATGTAAACTGACTGCTGCTGCAGTGGCTGAACACATGGAGGTGAAGAATCAAAGATAGACTTTATTCTAGCTAAAAAAAATCTATATTTAACTTTATAAGATCTAAAATAAATAGTGAAGGTGTTTTTAGGTGAGAATGCCCCTTTGTTAAACTCAGATAGTTTGCCAGGTGGTAACAGTTTTACTAAATAAGCCAAATGTTTTTCCAGAGAACTATTTTCCCTCATTAATGAGGATGTCTGCCCAACAGGGTGTGTTCAGTCAGACCGCTGTCAGGTTTACAGCTCTACTCCAGGCAGCACTAGTCCTCCTCACTCCAGAAAACTAGAGCACACTGACATCTGCTGTTGGAGGATTTCTTAGACTAATAAGCAATTTACCGTTTTACCAGATTAACACTGTTTTTACCGTCTACCTGAACTGTTTATTAATGATGTTGGTTTATTGAATGACCCCAGACTTCCGTCTTTGTGTCACTTCTGGTTGACTCTTGACTGTCAAATTTTAGCAAATAAATTCGTCCATTCTGGGTCACAATTGTCTATTTTTACGCCGTTAATTGAAGGGTAAAATACTGCCCAATTTTTCAATATTAATAGTCTTTTCCTACATTTTTGTTATTTGATGGGGAATTGTGTTACACTAAAATTAGGAAGGTAAAGTCCAGATATGGATACATGAACCTATGCTAACTATTTCTACGTAGCCATTTGAGCTTCTAGCCTAGAAAATAATAGTTGGTTTCTTTAGTTTCTAAGCCTACTTTGTTCAAGTTTCGATATCTAAGGATCCATCATGCTGTGACATAAATCGTACAGTTTTGACTAAAGCTGTCTTTTCGTGTTTTTTGCACGTATTGCCTGTCTAATACTAAATCTTTCTGATGCAGCATGTTGCAAACATGAACAACATTACTTTGTGTAAAGCTGAGCTTTAGAAAACACACAGAGTTTCCTTATAAATATACTAGCTATAGCGTCCTTTGCTTTTCTCTTTTCGTCATTTTGGCAGCTTGAACAAATCAGACTTGTTTTTTAAAGCCATAGTGAACCTATTGGAGAAGCTGTTGATTGTGAGCCGTTTTCAGCTTTAGTGAGTTATTTTCTGATGTGCTTGAATAAAAGAGATCCACTGATCAAAAGGTTTTATTCAAGTTTTTGGACAAGGTTTAAATGTTTTAATGGCTTACACAAAAAGGTCATGTAGATTTGCAGAAAGGACTGTTTTTAGAACTGTTTTTACTGCAGTGGCGTTTGTTGTTGTTGTTGTTGAAGCTAAAATTATTCTATTTATCAGACTATGAGAAATAGCTTCCAAGAGTCTTTTATTTGCAGACTGTAGATCATTTTTATCCAGAGTTTATTTGCTGACTGTTTCTGCTGCTGATTCAGAGATTCTGTTAAAACCAGCAGCTTTCTGAAACCTCCTGCATATAAAAATAATTCCTAGCATTGTGTTATTTTTTAGGCTGTGCCTGACTGAATCAAAGCTACTAAGTCATCATTGGATTACTTAAACTCAAGTCGATCTGTTTCTAATTTCAAGTGTTTTTTCATCTACTAACTATCTTTTCTACTTTTATCTCTTCTCTTTTCCAGCCCTGCCTTAGCTGTTTGTCAAAGTAGCTCTGCCATCGGCACTCCTTCCCACACCTCCTCTCCTGTACCATTCTCAGGCCCTCATACACCTTCCTACACCCCCTGCTGCACCCCACGCCGCCTCTCCCTATCGCTCTCCCTTGGCGAGTCCTCAACCAACCTGAGGGACTCCACTAAGACCACCAGCACCTCCCTAGGCCTTGTCCGCCTCCTGCGGGAGCATGGGATATCTGCCTCAGTGTATGACCCGTGCAGCTGGGACCGAGGGCTGCTGGGTGCCAGCAGTACTTCAACACCCACTGAAAGGGTGCAGGTGCAGAGGAGCGCAGCCAAGTCACAGGAGAAGGAGGTCGGACAGCTGGTGAAACGACCAGACACTCTGCTCCTTCAGCCCTCCACCCCCCCCAGCTCAGCCAAGCCAGAATCTGCCTCCTCTGCCACCGCGCGTCCTGCATTTCAGTTCAGCCCTTCGAAAGAGGATCCGCCGTATTACGATGCCTTCCTCGCTTCAAAGCCCGCCCGCACCATCCTGAGGGAAGTGTTGATGGATCTGGAGAGAGAGTATCACAGCGAGATGGATGAAGACTGCCAGAGCGACGTGACAAACCTCGGATTGGTGGACAAACTGAAGCGTTTCCGAACCCTTTCTCCTGTTTCTGCCTCCGGCTCCTCTGGAAGCGCTCTGCTGGCCCCCTTCAGTTCCAGCGGACTCGGGGGCGGGCTTCCAGGTTTAAATGCAGGACTAAGGAGGAACCGAAGCTATCCGGCCATGGTGGGAGCCAGTATGGCCATGAAGGACCCAGGCGGACCACCCTGCACACTCATCCCACAGACAATGCAAACATCACATTCACAAGATCCGGCGCAGTCAGAAGAAACGGGCAGAGTGCAAACACACCCCTCTGTAGTCAGGAAGTCCATCCACATACCGCAGACTCTACACGCCCTGGAACCAGCCACGCCACACACAATCATACAGAGACACAGCAGGGACGTAACAACACAGCGAGGGTCAGACTAGGACATGGTCGGAAACACTGTTAATGCCATTACCACATCAATACAAAGCCAAAAAGCATATTTATCACACACAGCTGACGGGTACAATCCCCCCTCAGACTCACCAAGAGCGTTCCTCAGACCCCCCCCACCCAACCCCAGCCACTAGTGTGAAAACTAGACTAAAGCGATGAAGTGAGGCATAAAGCCATTAGTGGCTGAAAGTGTTACACTGTGTGATTAAAGCACTGTCAGGCCAGGATAACGACAGAGTACGCTGCCTTCCTTTGTGTCATTATCGTATAATGTACTGTATATGCAATATGCTGTGGCATGTAAGATATTATTAAAGCCCCAATCTGGTGTACATTATGATGCAACTCAGTTTTAATCTGATCTATGTTCCTTAGAGATGCCAAACTGTATGGCTGATTTCTCATCTGTGGTTTTTGTAACGCTTTGACTCTTTTTTTGAGCTTATTTGCAAGCAGAGCTTATGCTATCTCTCTCTCTATCGGCCTTAATAAACTTAAATCTCCTTTTATGGCGTGAAAGTTTCCTGTTAAACAGTTTTTCTTCATCTAGTTGATTTTTCTTTAAAACACCACTGATGCTGAAACCAGCTAACTCTGATTGCTGTTCTCTGTGACGGCTTCCGCACTGAAGAGCGTTGTCAGCATAACACTAATGTTAATGTCTAATGCGTTTGAAAGTTACACTTAACGTCTTTTTACCTTTTTAATTATCTTATGTGCCCAGTTTGTCTTAAAAAATATATGAAATTCAAAAATCTCAAATCTAAAAGAAAAACATGTTTCAAATGTTTCATGAAAGCATTTAGGCATTTTTATTAGATCCTAAATGCTTGTATGTTCATTTATAACCATCGATATTAATAGATTTATCGCTCTGCAATGCCTTCTCCTTTTTTTTTCTTTTTTGATGAAATGAAATCCAGATTGGGGTTTTAAGATATCTTCCTCCTGTGACTGAATGTTCTTATGTGCCTAAAAACAAAAACACTGTATTTCGTTGGAATATGGGTTTGCATTTGTTGTCCTTAGTTGGTTTGTAATCATTTTTTGTTTCTTGTGCTGTGTGCAATACAGGAAGTGAGATTATTTGTGGAAATTCAATGGTTATGCTTCCAAATGTGTGTTCGTATTATTTTGGATGAACAGTATTTCTACCTTTTTTTTCCATTTAAGTCCTTGTTTTTGGTTACATGAGAAAAATAACCTGCTCATTTATCTTTATTTATGTCGGCGGTAAATGAAAACATTTCTGAATGTAGGCATTTGATCAATAAAATGGACACAGACATGGTAATCTAACAAAATGTGCATCTGCTCCTTCAGCACACCCAAAAACAGACTTGCACTAAAAGCCAAAGGTAAAGTCCGTTTGCACCATGTTGTTTTTTTTGTTTTTTTTTTTACCTTTATTGGTTCTATCTTTCAATATTGTTCACCTTTTGTCTCTTAATATGCACATTTTTTACTGTTTGGATCAAACATGGAATGGAATCTAAATGTAACCTCTAATCTTTGCGCTCCTGTTTAATCCTTGGAGCAGAAATATCCTGGTGGAGTAACAGAAAGCTCTGATTAAATTATCCATCAAGCCCAATTCTGTGTTATTAAGCCTAAAGAGAAGCAAATGATACAGAAATGTTTCTAGTACTGTACATAAAACAGCCTCAGTATTGATGTGTTGACTTTTCAACACATCAGTACTGAGGCTGTTGGGGTTTCACTGCTTACTCTGGGTCAGGACGCTGCATGTGGACCAAGACGTTGAAATTAAGAGGGATTAACCTTTTTTTTTCCTCTTATAAGAGTCAAACAAGTTAAATTTGCACGTTTAATTGAAGGTTGTTTCTGATTTTGCTTATTTTTTTGTCAGATTGACCTTTTCTGGTTAAATACTTCTTTCAGTAGTGGTTTTCAGACTTATTTCTCTTGCCAATGGCGACATTGATTTTTCCATTTCTGCCTTTGACTTCACGGCAGCAGCACATTTTGTTAAGATGCAAAAGAAAAGCAGTATTTCAGAAGTGAAGAAGCAAGCGGTAATGTTGGCGTGACTGAGGGTGTCAGATTGTGCCACATCATCTGAATGTAAGTTATTGTTCATCTCCAAGGGCCATTGTACAGTATGATGGTTAGATTTTTGATTTAGTCCATTATTGTAAATATATGCAATGTCAAATACATGTCAAATTTTGAACTATATATAAAGTATGTAAAAAATGTAATAAAAGTGAATAGTCTATTTAGGATAATAGGGGAATATGTTCTAGACAGATAGTGCTGGGTTCTATTTTATAAAACATGTAAAACTGTCAGTAAAATACAAAATAAAGACTCCATTATTGTCTTTCATTTGTTTTGTCTGATTTGCTGCTCCGCCCTGCAAATGTTCACATTTCTACACAGAAAGGTAGTAAATAACATGCATACTGTGTTGAAGCAGCTGACATTGGTCACCAACAGTAAACCAACTAAAGGAAGAAAGGGGAATATTGACTGGGACTGATGAGACCATTTAATGAAAATACTTTGAGTGAAGCTGATGAAGATATTCAGTCATCCAGGTCATAGTCATTCCGTAAAAGTTAAAAAAAATATCCAAGATTTAAAGATGTTTCGCCACCTCTCCAGGAAGCTTTCTCACATTTGAATTGAGAAAGCTTCCTGGAGAGGTGGTGAAAAGTCTTCAAATCTTGGAAACGAAGTTCAGTGGATATTTTTTGAACTTTTACGGAATTTTAAACTATTATTCTCACAAATTGATGACTAAGATGTTTGAATTATCAGTTTATAAAGTTACCCCTCACAATTCAAGTATATTTTTGTTTGTAATTAAATACATGGAATGTAAAGGAAAAAAAATGCAGAACTACTGTAGCATCAAGAGAAGGTTAATGCGACAATAATGAGGTGCTAGTCTAACGGTTATGACTACCGGTACATGACAGAGCAGTTAGTGTAACTTCAGCCTCATAGCTAGAAGGTCCTGTTTGTCTTTAGCACCGAGTTAGAAGTTGGTTTCAAAATGTCCTCAGCTGTGAATGTTTGGTTGTTTTTCGTGTGCTTTTCTCTTAAATGGCTGCTGGATAATATAAACACAAGTCCTGTTTTGTTTTTGTTTTTAATTAAAAGTAGAGGTTTAGCCTTTCTTTTATTTTTATTTTTTCATTAAAATGTCAACAAATGATTGTGTCTTTATTAAAATGGAACTTTTTTTTAACTTTTTTTTTTGGTGCCATATCAGCTCCAGCATCTGTTTGGGCAAAGTTTAAAGTAAAAAGGCAAGTAGTTTGTCGTGGGAAAAAAGTATTCCAACTATTCATCCTAGTTAAATAAACAGAGATCGATGGATTTCACTCAGTCGGCACATTTATTCATATCCTTGCAAAGAGAGAACAGATCATCATACAGCCTTTATGGCACAGCATTCTGCCCTGTTCTGATCTGGGCAGCGTTTGTTCCTCCTTACTTACAACAATGGAAAAGTAGTCAGAGTCAAAACAAATTACAGACACTTTAGTTAACAGTAACATGTTATGAATAAACCTTGAGAAAGAATCTGGTTTGTTATGGGAAGAAGCTATGTCTGGTCTACAAACACCATCCTAAAGAGAATGATGTGGCCTTGAGAGTGAAACAGACTGAGTGAAAACTTTTATAGTGAGTAAATAGGATAAATTAATATATAATAGAAGAGAGATAAAAATTTTCCGACAACAAGTTGTTAAATAAGTCCTATCTAACCTATATATCCTGCCTCAGACTGTTAAAAATAAATGTTAGTTTATTTGTTTATTCTATCAAATCCAGAAGGATTTGGAAAAAAAATATATCTGTGTTGATGTTAATCTGTGGTACTTTTAGCTGTTCTCCACAGGGGGGCACTGTGTCCAAACCTTTTAAAGAAAATGGGCCTTTAAAATTCATCTGATGACGTATTTTATGTTTTGACAAAGAGAATAAAGATTTAACAATTATTTTCTTTTGTGAAAGAACTTGGATGATGAAAAGCAAAACCCCTCTGGATGCTCAGAATGAAAAAGGCAGAATGGTTCAGATGTATATTTTGGTGTTCAGTGGGAGAGATGGATGTGTTTCTAAAATGGAGAAAGTAATGGTCATAATTGCTGAGTCTGATGGAAAATCCCTAAAACTTTCTCGTTTTTTTATTTTAGGTACTTTATGAGATCTAAACCACTGTTCATTTAAAGAAAATCACCTAAAAATGGCAAAATAATTCAATTATACATCACTGAAAAATGTGGGGCTGTTCAATATTGCGGAGGAATAATTTCCATGTTCTCCTTCAGCTGCTGTGAAAAGCTGGAGGACATGACTCTTTGGCACAGAGCAATTACCAGCTGCTGGGAAAGGAGGTCATTTCAGCTGCCTCCTTCTGCAGTGAACCCTTCACATAAAGAAGATCGTTTGGGCTTTAATCATTGACTCAAGGGCTGCCAGAAAATTCAAATACAGCCTTGAAAGCTATACAATGTGCTGGATGGTTTACTGCGATACTTTTTCTGGCATTTTTGTCTGTCTTTGTAATTGTAATTATCAAACCTTTTTGTCTGTGTAACCTGCTTTCTTTGCGCTGTTAAACCAGATTAAGGTATTTAAAGTACATCATGCTGAGCATTTGTTAATCAGGTGTGTTTTCTGCTTGTTGGGTTAAAGTCCTTTAAAAAAACTAAATCAGTGCATCACTAACTGCTGCTGCCATAATGGGAAGGTTTTAAAGGTCTAAGAAAATTTTGATTCCTGTCTTGAAATCATCTTAAAATGCAATAAATATAAAGTATGAACACTAGATTTAGTTTCAAGATTAAGATTTTATTAAAATCATGTTTATGAAATTCATAAAATGTAGAATATTAAACTATGGGCTGCATCTATGAGCTGATTGAGTGTTTTAGCATAATAGGTTCATATGAAGTAAATTAAACTAAGCTGAAATGAATATGGCAGCTGGATGAGCTGATGTCTGCAGTTAGTTCCATCTGATGCTAAGACCAACAATATGTTACAAAGAAAAATCAGCCATTTATAATCTTAATTTACACTTCTCACTGAATGAAAGCCATCTGTTCTTCTTGGCTGTAATTTCTAGAAACAAAGGTTTTAAGCAAGGCCTCATTTACCACAGTTGACCAACTAACAAACCCCCCAGTAACTGTAGCATCTGAACTCCACTAAATCACTACCTGAGCAAATTTAACTTCTTTAATAAAAAGGAGCAGTCAGCACATCTATATGAGGTTAGTTAACAAAGTTTCCTCCAACCAGAGCTGATTATGTCCAAATTTATAATTTTGCCAAATAAGATGCAAAAACTTAAAAGCTTTCAAAGGTTTCCTTTAGAAAGCTCTGCCTGTCATAAGTTCTGCTGTTATGCAAATAATAGACTTTTGGCAAGCGTTATCCACCAGGCCCTAAAAACAATAATCAAACCACTGTTGAAAAATAGCAACTTGGAGGATTATAATAAAAAATTATCATCATCTATAAGATTGTTGGGAAAGTGGTTTCAGCAGTTCAACACCTTCATTACAAAATCAGTTGTTGCTCTGACAGATACCGCCCTTTACCAACGTATTTAATGACCATGTAAAAAATTACACCTGTAAAAATTCTGTGCAGCAATTGACACGTTTAATCACTTCATTTCATTAGAGCGCCTAGAAATCTGTGTCAGCCTCTCTGGTAGAGCACTGGAATGGTTAAAATCCTGCTTGCAGGACAGCTAACTTTTATATCAGTAGGCAAATTTAAATCAGAGAGCACAAAAAACACATGTGCTTTTCCCCAGGGGTCCATCTAAGAGCCCCTCCTATATCTACATGCTCCCCCTAACTCAGATCTTTATAAACAATATATTAAGTCAACATAACTTTGCAGACGACACACAGCTGTACATTATGAGCAGGGGCGGATTTAGGAAATTTGAGGCCCCAGGCAAACACAGGCAGGGGGCCCTCTGAATTGAGAAGTAAACATATGAAATGGAGCCATTATAAACATTCTGAGATTTTAATAGAACAGATATACATTATTTGTTCTATGTTTGTTCCCTTTCTTCTTGTCCCTTTTCTTGTTGTTTTCCTCTCTAAATTTGTACTCAGCTGACTTTTCATGCTGTCTCAAAAGGAATGAAAGATTTTTATCCAAGCATTAAGCTACTTAGCTGATTGCACCTTCCTGTGTTTCCAAAAAGGCGACGGCAAAAGTAAATAACACAGTCCTTCTTTTCACTGAAGATAAGCCATGATCTGCTTATCTGTTCTCCATTTTTCATTTGGATGAAATAATAACTGCCTGATTCATGACAGCAGACAAGATAGAGGAGAGCAGGAGGCGGGGTTACCAATCTACTCGCTCTGGAGAGCAGAGTTAGCTGCTTTTATATGTTGTCGCTAAAGTCTCCAGTAACAGAAAAAAGTCGCTAGATTTGGCACTAGGTGCTTCTTTGAAATAAGAATGCTAGAGGAGCCTGAAAAGTCAGTAAATATAGCGACAAAAGCGCTAAGTTGGCAACACTGCTCTTCGTTTTGTTTTGAAATGGTTTGCTGCTGTTTGTTTGGACCTTTCTGAACATGTGAAGCAAACGGACTGATCCAATGTGGTGGACACTGAAGGGGGGGCTGAGACACACCTAATATTAAAAGCATTCTGATGGCATTTTAGGGAAAGGATTTTTTAAATCAAAAACATAATTAATGTGAACAAATAAGGAATAGTTGTGTTAACCATCTTTGTAAACAGAGTTTTATGGGGCCCCCAGCAACTTGGGGCCCTAGACACCTGCCTAGTATTGCCTAATGTTAAATCCCCCCCCCTGAGTATGAGCACTATCAAGCCCTGAATAAAGGCATTCAAGAAATCAATGCATGGATGTGCAAACATTTTTCTTCAGCTGAATCATAGCAAATTTGAGGTAATATTTTGTTGGGAAAAACAAAGGAAATTTAGCACACAGCTGCAGTTTGTCCAACTAGAAACCACCAATCAGGCTCTAAATCTGGTTGTAGTGATGGAAGCTGAAGCTTCTGAGGAACATAAAGTCAGGAACAAAGTCAGCCTTCTATCACCTAAAGAACATGTCCAGGATTAAAAGACCAATGTTTCAGCACAACCTTAAAAAATATATTGTTTGTAATAGAATTGATTACTGTAACCATGTCTTTACAGGTCTGTCTAAATGGATCAGACAGCTGCAGCTGATACAGAATGCAACACTAAATAATATAAATAAGTAAGATGGGCGATATAATCAAATAAAGTACATTTGCATGTAGTTGTTTGTTAATTTTTTCCAAAAAAGGGGGGAAAATTGGCAAAGGGGGGTTGTTTGGGGA